CTGCGGCTGTTGCTGCTGCTGCAGCTGTAGCTGCTGCTGCTGCAGCTGCCTCCAAGCGGCCGGGAAGGGGGTTGGGGGGAGGGGGGAGTACTGGAGTGCTGTGTGTGTCTGCTGCAGAGCAGCAGAGAGGCCTGTTGCTGTGTCTGTACAGCTCGCCGGTGTTTATTGTTGAAGAGCTTCTCTAGGAGTCATTTGCTACAAAAAGAGGGGCCTGGGAGCTGCTGGCTTGTCTTGGGTTGAGGAGGCTCCCGCTGCTGCTGCTGCCGCTGCTGCTGTTGCTGCTGCTGCTGCGCTGGGTAGGGCGTAGAGGGTTAAAGAGGCGAGGCGGCTCTAGAGGATCTTAAAGGAAATCATTTGATGTTAAACATAGAAAATAAAGAAAAACAGAAAAATGCAGCAGCAGATGGTATACAAACCCGCTGCTAATGCATACAGACAGCAGCTGCGTGTTATTAGCGTGGGGTTGCTGCTGCTGTGCTGCCGCCTCCCTCTGCAGTTTGTAGATGTATTAGTTATTAATAGACCCTAAACAGTGCATTTAAATAACCCATATTAATATAATTAAAACAAATAAATAAAACTAATCGCTGCTGCTTCAGCAGCAATGCTGCATCCACTCGCATCAACGTCCTTGCAGCGACATCTCCCCCTCCTCTTCGCTGCTGCACCGTTCATTACTTTTAAATGTCTTTGTCTCTTACCCTTCTGTTTATTTCTCCTCTTATTAATTGAAATGCATGCAGCAGACATTCGTACTGTGAGCCCCCCCATACACCCAAGCAGAACTGCCCGCCTCCCCCAGTCAAAATACGCAGACAGCGCGTAGCTAGCTGTGGCTAGCCAAAAGCTAGCTACGGAGTTTAGTAAAACAGCTAGCTACGGAACAGCTGGCTACACTACTCCTAGCTACGACACAGCTAGCTACGGTGGCTAGCAGAAAAGCTATCAATGAAGGCCTAGTACGCACGTAGCCAGGGATGTACAACCCCTCCGTTATGTATGAAGGGAGCAAAGAAGCCCTTATTATGAATTCCCCAGCCTCTTCTTAGCTGCCCCGGGCAGTAAACAAATATATAAATCAAACCTTATGATTATTCTACTGCATGCAAACTGCGCCTTCTGTCTCGATATATTTATGTCGTGAGCTGCCTAGAAGAAGACGCACAGTTATTGCTGTACATATACCGTAGCCGGAACAGATAATCTGATGCAACAGCCACTGAGGAGGAGCTGAACATTTAAGTTTTTCGGTTTAAAGGCCTTTCACTCGCTGAACAGGCCCACCAGAGCCCATACACCCGAACTCCCCAGTGAAAGCGACTGCACAAAACAAAAGGAGTTCTTCTCCCGGACGCCACAGCCTCAACGGGAAACAGACAGTTGGAGCCTCCTTCCCCCGCAGTGCATTTGCTGCCTAAAGCGAGAGAAAGCGCTCCTCTCCTTTCGTCTTATTGCTGCTGCTGCTGCTGCTGCTGCAGGCGCTGCCGCTGAGGCGGGCCTATTGTTCCCATTTCTGAGAAGGAAGAGGTGTTTTTTACAAACTGGTTTTGCGTTTACGAGCGCATGGGGCGACCCCCCATCCCTCCTCTGTGTGCTGTGGCTACAGTAACATTTGGCAGCGAAATATTCAAAGCCTGCAACATTTCATCGGTGTCCTGATCGATTGTAATCGTTGCAACGTCGAGTTCAGACTTTTCAGGAACGAAATCCATCCGCCTCTCGCGCTCTTCCTCCTGCAACTTAAGCGAAATGCCGCGTACAGGCCCCTTCTGAATGCGCTTCATCAGGTGCTGCATCACAAATAAAAAGATAAATTAAGAGGGGGAAAAGGTGAATCAATACTACTTCCCAATTAAAATGGAGAAAATAAGCAAAAATTGATTTCATGAACAACTTGCAATCGCCAGGTGTACGTACAGTGACGAAGCCGGCGACCTTATTGCGGATTCGTTTCGAGGGAATGAGCGCCACTTCTTCTGCAATCTTCTTGTTGATCTGGAAGTCCAGAGTCAACCTGCAGCATTGAAAAGCAAAAAATCGCAAATAAATGATATTTAAAGTCCCTTTATTCATTATTTATCGACATCTTCCCTTAATCCAGATATTCACGTTTCGCTATCAGCACTCACTTTGCGTAGTACTTCTCCACAATCTGGCGCGCCGCGCGCTTCACCGTCTTGGTCCTGACTCGCCCCTGGAAACAAAACAAAAATATAAACAGAGCAAATCAATGCAAAAGAATTAGCTCAACAGGGGCTCACTGGCCTCATGACAGAAGACCGGTTGCCGCATGCATGCACAAGCAAACAAACCAACAACATTGAAATGCGTGGTTCCCTGTGCAGACAGGGCTTTCACTTGGAACCGCCTGCATTCCTCTCAAACTGGGCAGCATCCACAGCGGTACTAAAATGAAAAAAGGAGGAAAAGGAGTTGAGAAACAACAACAAAACAACAGCGCCCATAACCATACTCTATGCGCAGCAGAGAGCAGCAAAGGATGCACATACACCTGGGGAGGCAGGACTACTTTAGAATCCTTCCGAGAGAATAAAGCAACGCATCACTTATTCATTTCAATACGCACAGCAAGCAAGACTACAAACTCAGCGCAGCCGCGCTACACAGAAACAGCAAACACAGCGGCGGCGAGGCCCCCCTTTTAATCCCTAGCCGTGGGGCCCCTCTTTGCTATTCGGACAGGAGTCAAACAAGAGAGGTAAGTCCTTGTAAAATTTAATGATGATTTTTAATTCAGGTGAGAAGAGCTGCAGCAACAGCAGCGCGTAGGTTGGCTGTGGGGTTGCCGCGTGCTGCGGGCGGAGAGTGCGTGCCTACCATTTTGTATTAGCAGGTTCTGTTGCTGCTGTCTTGAATGCAGAAAACGAGATAAAAAAAGACGGTGCGATGTTCTGCAGCAGCACGAACCAATTCAAATTCTCGCTGCTTCTCTCAGACCTTCTTAGAAGGAGGCGCTGCATGCAACGTGCAGTTCAGCAGCAGCCCCAGGGGTGATTTGCAGGGAGAGGCGAGAGAAGAGCCTTCGGGGCTTGCTGGTGTATATTTTGACGTAAATTGGCTGCATTAATACAAACCAAAAGGATTTAATAAATAAAGTCTGCTAATTAATTTAGTATTTTATTTAATTTTTGAGTTGAAATCGAAAAAACAACACGCAGTGCTGCCGCTGCTGCTGCTGCTGCTGCTGCTGCGTGCCACCCACCTACAGCAACACTAGAAATAGTGTCGTCCGTCTTTAAATCCTTCGGGGTGTTCTGTTGTTATCGTTTAAATGTTTATATTGGTTTATCAATCAATTTGATGAGCATTTTTAGCTGCTTTTTAGCATATTTTTCTGCATAAACATATTATACTGAAAGAAGTGCGTCTGCGGTGTCTGTTTCTGTCACTCGAGTCGACAGCCCTCAAGAGACGCTGGCTGGCCATCTGTGGCTGTGCACTCTTCGTATTTATTTCTGCACATTTAAAAGTATGTTTCTCCTTCTACTTTTATTTTAATTTACTAGCAGCGGTTGCAGCAGCAGCTCTTTCTACTCTGCACAGGTCAAGTGAGGCTGATTCTTGGCTTGCTGCTCCTGCTGCTGCTGCTTTCTCCATGGTGCTCCCCAGTGCCAGCCAACAGCAAAACAAATAACCTGAGGCATCCTCAGTCGTATTATTATCCAGTGTGCGTCTATTGCTGCAGCAGCGCAGCAGTAGCAGTGACAGTGCGTTGAGCTACTGATGAGCGCAGCAGCGGCGCTGCTGCTCCGAGCGGAGGGTAGCAGACAATAATAATCATTTATTGCATTTGCTGTCGGATATTGAGTGCAGCTACCTCTGCTGCTGCAGCAACAGCAGCAGCAGGAGAGGGAGACCAATAACAACGGCAACAGCAACAGCAACAAAGGCGGCAACAGCAAGCAACACGCCAGGCTCTCTCTAATGACTGCTTCAAGTGTTTCTGATTAGAGCAACATCAATGGAGCAACAAAGTCAAATGCATGCAGCAGACATGCAGAACTGCTGCGAAGTGGTGGCTGTACGCCACGGCCTCACCGACTACAACGCGCAGCGGCGGCTGCAGGTAGGTAGAGAGGAGGTTTATTACAATTCTTACTTTAATATTACTTGAGGAGAGCGCCTTATAGATTTATTATTACAGTAGAGGTCTCGTGCTATTATGATGATATATTGATTTCTGTCGGGTCACCCCTAGCATGCCAGAGTTTGTCTCTTCGTGTGAATCAGAGTGTATTTACGTACAAGTTGTCTCCGAATAACTGCTTCTATTTTGTTTTTGAATAACTACTTTTGTTCGTTTGTTTTCCCCTTGGTATCTTGTTGCGGAGAAGTAAATGGTATTGGATCTGCAGCGAACACTACTACGCACGCCTTTGGCTGCAGTTAATGCAGCGATAAATGTACTTAGGAGAATAAACATTGTTTTTAAAAAGCAAAATCTTGTGTTTTGTGCGGTGCTTGCAGGGGCAGCTGGACGTCCCTCTGAATGACACAGGCCGAGAGCAGTGCCGCGAATGCGGCCATCGGCTTAAGTAGGCTTTGCTGCTGCTGCTGCTGCTGCTGC